ATTTACTAAATTAAACTATTAATATAATACCTCTTTAAAGCTATTTTCAAATTTAAGATCTTGTAAAAGTATATTCTTTTATTTAAATTAGTACATTTGATAAGCAGACTACATTTCATTCAAAGGCAATGTAAATTCTTATTAAAACCAATAAAAATTAATTGGTATTAATTATAAAAGCATTCTTAAAATCATCAAAGCTCCTTAGACACTGATAAGTATAGTTTTGTATTTTTATTATTGAATAAAGGATAAATAAATAAATTTTTATTCTACTATCTAATTCTTGATAATCCACAATTTTTTTATTAATTATAGGTTTTTTCAATTAAATATTAAGATAATTAATTATATTGTTATGGTATTTTAATAATAATAAGAATTTATCTAACTGAGAAGTTAAAAAAATTCTGTCGAAATAAGTTAATTGATAAATATGAATTAGTTAATTCCTTAGCAGTATAAGCTAGGATTACACTTATCAATCTGAAAAATATAGAAATATGAAAATATATTCTTTATAGTATGTTGTTTAATTTTCTGTCATTTAAGATTTAAATTTTAATATCTCTTAATTTACTTGTAATTACTCATACAATATATTTTAGTTCAAAATTATTTTCCTCGATTTTATTGATATAAAATCATGTAATTTATAATATCTATAAATTTTTAAAAGAAAAGTTAAATGGGACAATCAAAATCTAAAAGATTTAATAAAAGTAAAAATGATAGGATAATTAAATATATAAATATTAAATATATTAAAAATTTAAGTTAAAAGTTTGATGTTTGAGTAAATTTATATCAAGATTAATTATAAAAGAAAATATGTTATCGGAAACAAATTAAATAGACACGATTTTTAATCCTGATAGGCTCACTATTAGTCACAATTACTATATTATTCTGAGAAATCACTTCCTCATAGACAGGAAAAATCAATAAAGGACATTCTAAAAACAATCAACATTGAATTAATGATCCTTCATATTACTCTTTCACGACAGAAACAACTAAACTCCACAACTGATAAACATAAATAATCAATAAGATCATAAATAGAAATATTCAAATCGGTATTCACTAATGGGAAGTAGAATAAATCAGAAAAACAACAAATAATTTACTCTTTTGCTAAACTTCTATTTTTATTGATATATTTTAAAGTGAAATTCTAAATATTTGAAAGATTAATAGCAATTGGCACTTTAAAGGTACTCTTACTGAATTAGAGCCTTTAGAATTTAAAATAAGATAGATCCATAATTTCAAATAATATATAAAATTTTTATAAGCTTTTTTTTTACTGTTGATCTTTGCAAAAATCTGTTTTGATATTTTAGCGTAATTTCTTATTAATATTATTATTACTTTGTAATTTATAATATATAATAAAGATATTTATATAAATTAAATGATAGAATTAGAATAGAATTATGAAAGACTAAGGGTGATTCAATGACATATACTTACATTAATTAATTTAAATAATAAATATGAATAGCTTAACTCAAAAATAAGAACAAGAAGCATTCGAAACAATATGTAAAGTTCATAATCAAGAATTAATTGCAGTTGATCTAGACTTATCAGATAAAGCATAAATATAATTCTTTTGTGGCAAATGTTTAGTTGAGAAAATTAATAACTATTAAGTGACCACTATTGAATAATCAAAGGAGAGAATCTAATAAATTAAAATTTAATAAAAAGATATCAAATCTAAAGAGAATCAAGCAAGACTCAACTATTATAACAACATTTTAGATCAAATTATGGATTTCAAATAATCCATTGATGATTCTTTGGAGAAGATGTATAAATAAATATAATAATACATATTCCCAATTTAAAAAGAAAAATAAGAATTATAAGAATATGAATAATAACTAAATTACTTTGAGGATATAAAATAATTATCTGAATTGTATTCTTAAGA